AGTGTGCGAGACGACGACGAATCGCACGCCATCAGCAAAGTTCGAATCGAACGGGGTCGATAAACGAGGACCCCTCCACAGGTGCTCGGCCACCCTATCTTTCTCGAGAAATGTCGGTTTTCCCAGAGGAATTCGAAAACGAATTTCCGACCAAAGTGGGGGAATCAATTACGCTCGTATTCCCTAATCGATTTTTAGGGGTGCGGAGCGATCCAGACTGCAGTTAACCACTCTGTATAACGAAATTTTTCTTCCATTCCCAACGCATTACATAAAGTTACAATTTCACGTGAAGATAAAAGTAACGGAAAATGTCACTTCTAATGGTTTTAGAGCGATGGAGCGACGTCAGTCGCATCCTTTTAAAATAATAACAACTTACATTAAGTTATAATTCTGGAACTTTTTTTCAAAATAAGAGAGAAAGTTTTGCCTCATCTTTCGATATAAAATTAATACCAGTCGACCCCCCTATAATACTGTTGATTATTCCGTTTTATATGAATTCCATGTTGTACGAGTCACTTAGATTTTACAAATACGTGAGCCGTTCACAGCCCGGCACACGTATTTGTAAAATTCAAGTGACTCGTACAACATAGAATTCATATAAAACGGAAAAATCAACAGTGTTATAGGGGGGTCGACTATACATCAATATTAAGAGTGACATTTCAATTGACTGTTCAATTCGGGTATTCCACTCGTTAAAAGTAATATAAATTCTGTCTTTGATATTAAGTTAGAAGAGGAGGACGAAACTAAAACAATTGCGAAAAGTCGGATTATTATTATTATTTTTTATTCTTTCAAACAGTATCCAAATATATAATATAATAACGCGGTAGAAATGGTGCGAAAAACCATCTGTCGGAAGTATAAACGTGATTATTCTATTTATAAATAAAATATTTGTTTCGTGAGCGAAACCTCTAATATTAATAGTTCTTCGCGCGGTCAATAACAATGGAAAAATATTTCAGTAGCAACTAAATTTGGTAGATTTTGGTGGTAAAGAAAGTGTTAATTAAAAAAAAAAGAACTGCGAAAACATTGTCTGATGTTAATTCGCGTAACGTTCGCCAGATGGCAGAGGAGATGATTACATTCCCCCAGCATCCGGATTCGATTATTTTCCGCATCCCGATAATGTCTTCATTATCGAAAAAAAGGCTCGGATTTTTGTCGGTGGTGGTAAAGATGGAGCGGCGAAATTGGGGCCGAGGGGCGAGGAATCCGGGATGGAGAGGCGTTGGGAAGGAGCGCGGTCCGAGAGAGAGAGAGAGGCAACAGTTGAGGGGGAGGCGAAGTTGTCGGCGCCGACGGGAACGCGACCGACGGTTGGGAGAAGTTTCCGGGAAGCGAAGGCGAAATCGACGTCATCTGTCGTCTTCCCACCGCGATCGAAAGCCCGGCCGACCGGGTACAGCCCGATTCTCCGACAAACTGCTAACGTCTTTCTTCCCGATCTCTCCCTCCTCCTCTTCCTTCCTTTCCCTAAATAATTTTAATTGGGACCACCTCCGTCGAAAACGTCTCCTTCTACTTCTTCCGTCGGAAGAATTGTAAAGACCTATCCTTACTGTAATTTTGAAGGTGGGGTCGCGTTTCTAGGAACGTGTGCGGCGGTGGCAAAAAGAGTAATCGTCGGAGGAGCGAGAAGTACGTTCTCGTTCGCTTTTCATTTAGAGAGTAACTTAAGCTCGGTGCGGAGAAGAAAGAGGTAAACGAGTTAGACAAACAATCTTTCGCAGATTCGTGACGTTCGCAGCCTGCGTGATCGCATTCGGTGGAACGTGAGCGATGAGAATCTTCCATCTGCCGACCGAGAAGAATGCATAAACGGAGAAAACACTTTGGGACATCCCGAGATGCACGCTCTCTAAACTCGCACGCTTCGTCCTCTTCTAACTCGTTAAGGGAAAGAGACGAACCCGCGACAGATTCCATTCTCTTATCCCCATCTTAACCATAGTCTAAAGCATTCGTTAATGTTAAAATGCGTTTAGAAACTTACTGTGAGAAGTTTCTCGCGAATACATAGGATAAACAATTCCTTCCGATCCTTTGCATCGGAGGAATAATGAGGAGAATCCGTCTTCGTGTTCTAAGGATCGACGACTGGACATTAATTAACCGGAATCGAGGGACAAATTGGAATTTCGTATTTTGTGGAGATCACCGAACGATAAAGCGTATTTTCCGCTCGGAATCAAGGGAAGAAATATGGAGTTGGACGGAAACGACCGAGATCGATTGTCGTTCTTCCGACGCTACTCTCGTCTGGTTCTATCTTTCGATCTTCACGAGGGACGATCCGGAATAGATCCTTCATTAAGCCCCTTCCCAGTAATGTCCCTTATTAATAAACAATTAAGTATTTTTTGCAGTTTTTTTCGCCTTTGCAAAGTGCGTAGGAGTTCGAAATGTAACAATGCAAAATTTCTCTCGAAAGAACGATAATACTAGAGAAAATACCTTGACTAAATAAACTATAAATGTTCATCTATCGTCTATGTTTATTCTTTACGTTGTTCTGTTTTGATCCGTGCGTATACTTTATCAAGTGTTTCGTAAAAAATAGTGTTAATGGAAACATTATCGTAAATTGTTGAAAAATGTCAAAATAAAATTAAATTAAATGTTGAGACACAGAAGCAAGGCAAGTGGGAAGCACAAAAATTGTAGAGACGAATCAGACAAGAACGTTTTAGAAACGGTTAAAGCGTGGATAGTTTTAAAGAAGAATTTCCGGTCGAAGAGAAAGAGAATAGAAAAGAGAAGAGAGAAGCGACGATAGAAAAGATGCTGGAGGATATCAAAAAAGAAAAATGGAAAGTGCGAAAGATAGCCTCCATCGGAGAATCATCCGGTAGCATTAAGTAGAAAACCGATGCGGACGAAAGGAAGGAGGATGTACTGTACTGTACCGTACACTACCTCGGTTATCGTTCTCCTCTCCTCTTTCGAGGATTTGGCGCCAATTTCGCAGGGAAGGATTTACTCGGAGGACTTTCGAACGATTCGAAAGGAGAGAAAACGGTGAAAGGGAAAGCGAACGGGTGTCGGGGTTTCGTCGAAAGCTTCTTATCCGGAAAAGAAAACGAGAAAGGAACAACTAATTAGAACCCGACAAACAATTTGTACCGGGTACGAACACGTGGCACGGTTCACACCGAGGCTTATCCGGTCGATGCGGACCGAGTGGGCGACCGGCACCGATCCCGCCACCCAAATCGGTCACGTGATCTTCTACCTTTTCTCCAAGGAGCGTTTAACAGATTACGGCTTTCGACTCTCGTTCCCCTAAACAAACAATTCCAAAGACAATCGTAGAAGAACCAACTCCTATCGTATCAAAGATTTAATATTAAGTAACAACTTCCGGCGACACGTTTTCATTTATTATAAACAATATTTTGATATAATATATCATTTTAGAAACATTTCATCCGATAATTCCCTTTATTTAATTCTGGAAATTCGATAATTCCGTGGGTAAATGATTCCGGAGAAGGGAGGATTAATAAGAAGAAAAGAGTAATATAAAGTGAAAAATTTGCATAATAAAATTCAAATTCGATTCTTTTTGTGTGTGTATGTGTGTGTGTGTGTGTGAAAATAAAAGACGAATCGATAGTAATCGATTATGTAAGCATCGATACTTTGATGTACGGTACGTATATTTAATTTCGTAGGGAGAGACATGGTTACGACAGGTTATTTTAGAAAGAATTCTATCTATATCGATATCGATATCGGCGCTCGATCGTCCGAAAGTACTTAACGATCGACACAAAATATGTATATAAGAGGTTAAAACGATCAATAAGTTAGTCGTTATAATATTTTTCGGATCAACTCTAAAAACGGGGAGGACGAGATCGTTTTTAGAAGATGATCGAGATTCCTCTTGTTTTTATACACGTGTATTTATCTCCGATGTTTTCCTCTCGTTGGAGCTATATATATATTTTTTTTCAATAGTTGTAGAAGTCGTTACGAGTATTTGATCGGGGAATGTTATTAAACTTAAAGACGAGGACGTCGAATGCGTTATCTCAACCAGATCGATGCTGGCAATCTATTTTACACGATATTCGACGGATATTCTATCGTTTTTATCATTTCCTCCACACTTTTACCTATATTATATTTCAAAAAGTTGCTTTGTATTGGTTCAGTAAAGCATTCTACGTCTTGTTTTTTATAATACTTTACGTTATCTCGTAGCGCTTCTAAATACCGTTATCTATCTTCAATTGGAGTACGGATGACTGGGGAGTGAAATAACTATTCTAGAAATTATTTTAAAAAGTACGAGAGGAGAGTTTAAAGATACTTCCACGTTTTTTCTCTCGTCTAAAGTCGGTATTTATAAGAAATCGAAACGGCAATTTTAACTACTTTCTTTCTTTCGCCGGATTACCGAATTGTTTCCACTGTCGATCTCGTTAATTTTAATTCAAATCTAATCGATAATTCGGCGCTCCATCGACATTCCGTTTACAAACAACAACATTATTTACGGGATTCTATCATTTTCTGCGATGCCACTACCGTTCGTTCTTAAAAACACGTCGTACGACACGTTCTCTATTTGTACTGAGTATTTACAGGAGAACTTCTTACGTAAATGTTCGAGTGAAACCGGATGTGGGGGAACCGCGTGGTTTAAGTAGGGGAAGAGGAAAGGAACCGCGATGGCAATCGTCTTTCGGTAGAAAGACTGGATCGGAACAAAAAAGGAAAGCGAAAAAGAGAATTGTCTCCACCCCGGTGGACGAAGGTCCGTGGAAAATTCCCGTCACTCGGCGGACAGCTGAGTGAGGAAAGGGGTCCGAGCCCCAGACCCCGGAAGGGGGCGCCGGGGCCGCCTGGCCGGCCCGGACGGCCCGGGCCGGAGACGGAATTACGAATCGAACCGCGTATCGGAGCCGTGACGTCAGTCCGTGGGAAAGGCGAAAGCTGGCGATTCCGGGACTTTAACGATTTCTCCCGCGTGTTTTCCGTTCGTGCCGCGGGGTCCGGACGTCCTCGCGCCAGTCCGTGCCCGGGTCCGACACGCGCTCGAACGGCAGGAGCCCGCTCCTCCGGCAGATAGGGTCGGCCAGCGCCATGAGCGAGTTCCGGGCTCCCTTCCACTCGGCTCTGGACCGCGTCCTCGACCGCAGGTAAGCTCCCTCTTCGGATGCCGCGCGCTTTAAAAACCCGACCCGGCCGTCTATTAATTAGCGGCCGGCGCGATCGATGACCCTTCGTCCTCGTCGGAGGGAAATCGATTCTACCGGAAAGACGATACGCGCGCGCCCCTTTTCTCCCTCTTTTCGCGCTTCCGGCCCGCTCTTTCTTTCCGTCGCCGTCGGGTGGCGCCGTCGCTCCTCCGCGCCGCGTAAAGAAAATCTCCTTCCGGACGGAAGTCGTCGGGCCAGGTGCCTAGCGCCAGAGGTTGAGTTCGGCCCCTTCCGTACGCCGTTCCCTTCCCATCTTACTCCCGGCCGCATCGTAATTGCGCGTGCGGCGCGCGCACGGTTGCGGAATCTCCGACGAAGATGCGGAACTGTCCATACGAGAAACTCGGAAGAAATCATTTTCTCTATCCTAAAAGGCGGAAGAAAACGGTACTGAGGATTCGCTCTTCCTCTCCATCGGAGAATTAACCTAAAATAAAACCGGCGAAGAGAAAGGAGTGTTGACGAAGATCCAAAATCTGGTCGTTCTCTTCCGTTTCCGGCGATCGATGATCGGTTGAGAGGGGTGGCGAAAAATCCGGGATTAGAAAGTCGCACCCCGATTAGGCTTACGGAAAACAAATCTGGATTTTGTCTCGATAATTTCCGTTTTCGACACTCTCTCTCCATCTGTAAGAATAAAATTCCCGTTTTGGAGAACCTCCGACCTCCCGAAACTTCGCTTCACTTTAATTAATATCGGACGAATATATAATTTGTTTCTGTCGAAAGACACTCTTCCGGTTGAAATTATTTCAATTCTTTAAAGCATTCTCTTTCCGTCGTTACTTTTACGTTTCCATTTAACTTTACACGTAGTTTATAATAGCCACGTTTACATTCGATCTACTCCTCATCACTTCGATTATATCTCTTCCTTTTATAAGTATTAATTATTCTATATATGTAAAGTTAAGATTCTTTCTTCTCCTTTCGAATTACACTCTGTAGCATCCTAAACTCTGATCTTTCTTCCTTACTATGAGACGTTACGTAAAAAGTAAGGCTATAACTTTATCTAAATACTCGTCGTTATAGTAAACACCCGATATTTTGAACCGTCGTAGTGTGTCGAAGTGTATCGTCTTCGTCTCTGTACCCCCAACAAAATGTATTCTTTCAAAAATTGCGTTTTAAGTCGGAGGAGCGAGGAGCGTGAGAATGATCCAGATCGCGTTAATCGCTCTACGACGTTCGAATGTCTCGTTAAAAAGATAGTCGATGGCGAATAACTACTTTCGAAAGCTTCCAGTTTTCACCTCGAGAACGGGAAACGAATTATTTCCGGTGTAAATCGATTAAAAACCAACCTTAGATCCTATCGAAAACAAACATTCCTAATCGGATGAAAGGTGAGGCCGCATGTTTTTTTTTTTTTTCGAAACGATTTACGTTGGTGGTAAAAAACATCGGAATTCCTCGAGTATAATGACACATAACAATCGAATGTAAAAGGTATTATGTCGAATACACTATAAAACAGTTACAGAACGTTTTATATCCCACTTCGACACCTTTCGAACAGTTAACGTTAACGTGTTGTTATTTCCAGCGATAACATTCGAAGGTTATTACGACGAAATTTTAGGAGATGAACCGATCCGGAATTGCCACCATAGATTCTTCTACGCCAACAAATATCGATTTATTTACGTGTAATTCGAAAATATTTACCGGAAATAATTTAGTTTCTTGTAGATTTTTGTTCCGGATTCTAGCAAATGCTTTATTCTACGAGATATTCGGGTAGTTAATACCGCATCTTTGATCTAGACGACAAGCTTATATATCTTAAAGCCCTATCGAACTTAACCAGAATTTTCTTCTTCCCTATTTAATTTTTTTCAAATACATAATTACCTTCAAAACTTATTGAGGAAAAACTAATGGAAAGGAGAACGTGGTACTCATAAGAAAGAATGAAATAGAAGTGAATAATTATCCTAACACCGAGACATTTTCGTGAGTTTTTGAAGACCAGTCGACAGTAACTTTTCCCCCCCTGTAATTGCTCTTTTTAAGACGTTTCGCGACGTTTCTGGGAACGTTAAATCCAGTCGCAGGTTTTCTGGCAAGAAATTTGTTTTCTTTCGATTCTCCTCGATAGGAAAAGTATTCTTTTCTTATCGAAAGAAAGGTCTCGACGTAATTTCTTTGTTTCTAGCAACCGAGTAATGATAATCAGACACGAAAACTCGCGAATATATCGTAATGGTGGCTGATTATTCTTTCCCATACGTATTTACATGTTAAATTAGTAGAGAATTAAATTATTTCTTGATATTCCACTAAAATAATCTGCATGATATTAACATTTTTATACATTATAATCACTTCAGAAGTATGCTAATGATATTTAATTAATAAAATTTTATATTTTAATCGTTCTTGTCCGAATCTTTTCCACACAAATACTCGACTAATCATAATAGAAATTGTACAGGATAAACAAATATAAGTACAAAATACTGGCTACTGACATATTTAATATTAATACTTTGATAATATTTGTCAAATTCGAGATATAAATAAATAGAAAAATGACACAAATTGAGAGTGTTTATAGTAACAAAAGAGAAACTATCATTTGAAATAAAGAAACACGGCGAAAGATTGATGTTGCAAAATATCTCGATCAACACCGATGTTGTATCTGATGCGTAAAGATAAAAAAAAATATATTCACTTTGAAATATCGACTTTATCTCGACGTGAACAAATGGAAAGAAAATAAACATTTTACTAAAAGTGAGCTTTACGCATCATTCAAATTTTCTAATTAAGTGCACTTGAACTATTGTAGATAGGAAATACAGAGAATTAGAACAATACAATAAATTCGTATCTATAGAATAAAGCTTTTAACACTACAAAACCTACACATCTTACAGGGAAGTTGCAATCGGCTTGTTAGATAAGTTTAATTAAGAAACAGAAGAATCATTGAATATTCCTTTGTTTTTTTTAATATATAGTCCTATATTTTATAATAGATCCGATTTGTATTCTATGTAACAGGAGACGAAGGCGTTTCTCGTCCGAAACTTCGATATTCGATCTTTGTATTTCTTACAAGAGAGAAAGTCTTTTTCTTTATGCTATAGATAAACTCCGTTGTACACCCATTCATTAAGCACGGCAACCGCGGATGAATGTTCTTTTTATTGATTTTTAGAGTTTTATTTATTTAAGTATTGCTAAAAACAACCAATAAAGATTATTATACTTCTACCGCACACAATAATTGATACGTGCGCTTAGATACAAGAACATATACTTTATATGGCCGTGTTTTATTTTCACGGCAAATAATGCCTTTCACATAGAAAATATCCCAATTAAATAAACCTAAAAGATGAATAATAAAGTAGCAAACATACAAAATAAAATACAGATAAATAGATAACGTGTCGAGAGATCCTTTAATTTGTATTTGGAGTGTTGGTTTGTTGGAGGACTTCTTTCGACGTGGACGTTTCTTTCTTAAATCCTTCTTATCTTAAAGATTATTTCAAGTTATTTTTCGATCAGTCGAGTGTTTTTTCCTATTTCTTGAGACCTTTTCCTTCCGGAATTTTGTAGAAACCGTACAGGCTCCACGTGAAAGTTTGGAAGGTACACGACACTCAGACACTCGCCCTTCAAGTGGCCATCCCCTGTACAACTGGTAAATTAGAGGGGAAGAGGCATTTTCGGGAGCGAATGGGTGAGCGAGTGCGGAACGTCACGAACGGAGATAATCCATCGTTTCCGGCCAGAAACAAAAATATTCCTTTGCTCTAATAGTGTCACGAGGGTGAGGGAATGGTAATAGAGGGGAAGAAGGAGCCGATCTTAAGAATACATTAGCGAAAGAAGGAAATAGTTTGTGTACAAATCGCGAAGGACTGGAGCGTGCATAAAAAATGCAGATGCGGAAAGTAATTCTGCTTTTGTTTTTTCCAGGTTTCCGGAATCGTTGAGAGCGGCCGGAGAACGAAGATCGAGGGTAAGTGAAGCGTTGGAGGAAAATAAGGCGCGCGGCACGCTACGCCGATGCTCCTTTCGCGTGCACTTTTCGTGATTAACTCGATTTTTTATCGTTCCTTCGAATCGAAAGATCATTAAATCGAAAGTTCGACCCGGTTAGGCGCTATTCGGACCTTAAATGATCTTTATTCCGAGAAGAGGACGTTACGTTCCTCTCGTAAACTACGACGTCTCTTCCAAGTTACGAAAATTAGACACCGAAACTACGTTTATAACAGAATTCGAAAAGGATAGATCCAATGGTACGAGCGACACTCACTCGGATACTTACTTATCTGCGGTTAAACATCCGAAAGTAGAAGAGATGTGGAAGAAAAATCCCTTAAATGAAGGATTTAACGACTTAATAATGTTAATAATGTTTGTTTGACAGGAGAGAGGAAAGCCGGTCAACGGGAGCCAGTCGCCTCGCATAAGGACCAACGACGCCTACGTCCGCGAATCGGAAAGTAATTCGCTCACCATGGCTTTGATCGGTTGTCTGCCGGACAACGTACAACAGGTGAGTCTTTGACCTTTCTCTATCGCGCGGTGGTTGAGTACCGTCTGTCGATCGCGTCTATAATTTCGTTCGCAGGGGACACACACTTTCCGATAAAATCCATCGATTGTCGGCTTTCCGCCACTCGTCCATCTGTCACGGGTTTTCCCTCCGCCCACCTAATTCGAGTTTCCCTCCATTAGCGCTCGTCAGACGTCGATTGTCCCAAACTAGACAAAAAGTATCTTGACCGGGAGCTGCTTTCTATTTGTTCAAATGCACACACTACTACTGTATTAAATAGTAGTTTAGTAGTGATGTGACGGGATGAACCCCTCGAGTGTTTCTTTGTATCTTTTGACCTACCTCTTTATTGTTCGTCATTGTACTTTTGGCCTTTGTAATCGGCCATTTATCGTCTACGATAGTATTACGCTAAATAAACTAAATTAAATTACCTTCTCAATATTAATAAATACGCTTTAAAATTAAACCAACAACACTAAAAAATAGACTGATTTTTGTAAATTTCGAGTATTGTAATTTAAGCGAAATCGCTCGAGCCATTTTCTTCTCCCTTTCTACAGGCATCTTCCTAAGAAAAAGAAAATAACCAGCAGCAGCAGCAGCAGCTGTCAGACCGCATTTATGAGCGGCGAATTTCCAATTCTACTTAAAATAAAATGATAAATTTCATAAACTCGATGAGAAAGTCATGTGGTTTCGGAAAATATTTTTAAAACGATTTATATATAAGTTACTTCAGCAAAAAGCGTGTCGAAATGTTGTTTGCTGACGATCTCCAGTACACACTATCTTCTATTGTTACCGTCCGGGGAGGGGGGGATAAAGTTAACCCATACGAAAGATTACGATAGTCTTGTTGACAATTCTTTTTATTATTTTAGTTGTCACGATACTTGACGTTAGTCTCCAAGTATTTTTATTCTGCTTCAATTGTTCTGAAGCATATTTGAATACGTATTAATAGAATATAAAATACACATTGATACGATGAAAAGCTCTTTAACAGCTCTTTCGTAAGTGTAAAGTAAAATGCATAAAGTAACGAGTAGAAAATAGAGGGTAATTTTAATATAAATAGAAGCAAAAGGGATTAAAAGCGAAACGGGATCGAAAGAATTGTATAAAGTTAATAGGAATAAATACATCAAAGATTAAGTATACTGTATACGATATTAGAAGAATATGAGAAGAAGGGAGCTTAATCTGGAAATTTTCCACATTAATAGTTTAAGTAATAAAGACTGAACGTTATCTAGAAAAGACAGTCGCTGAATATTATACATAGAAAAGCTTTCTTCTGCGTGAATGCTGGCAAAATGTCACATCGATAGACAATAGAGGAATACAGAGCTCTAACGTGGAGTCGAAAGATTGAAAAAAACAACAGAAACGACAGTTTTATTGCGATTGGCTATAAAAATCCGGTAAAAATATAAGAGGACTTAAAAAAAATAGCTTAAGTCTGACTATTTTTATTTAAAACAATTTAGTCTATATTATTATTCGAATAGTCGATAAGATGATTTCTATATAAATCAAATGGCTCAATAGTAAAGAATTTCTTCCGTCTTTTATATGTATACTTATAAAGGCCTATTTTTCTTTCTATTAAAAGTCAAATACGGTTTAAAATTTAATTACAAACAATTAACTGTAAAAGATAAACGACACCCAATATTATATCTTCGAACCGTGTGAGACCATAGGAAGGGGTCCGTAAAGGAAAAGGCTAAGGAAAAAAAAAAATCAAATCTCGGGAGCGGCACTTTCCTCCTCTCCTGAGATTTGCTTTAATCTTTTTTATTTATTTTTGATTTTGAAAATAAAACTTTCATAAAGGGAAGTATTTTTTTAAGATCAAATTTATTTTACTTTATACTAAAGTAACTTCGAGATAGGCCCTCTACTTTCACCTTTAAGTCATATGCACGAGATGTATTATTCATAAGAGTCCACTATTTACAATGTAGTTCTTGTTTCTTCTCCTGTTTCGTCGTATATTTATTATTGACTTTTAGAAAAAATATACGAAGATAATGTAAGCAGAATTATAGAATTAAATGAAACGATTGATAGATGAATTAATTAATTAAAATTAGATGATTGTAGTAAATCAATTCATTGGTTAATTAATGTAAATCGTTAATTTTATCCCTCCCGAGACCGAATCCTGATACACTCTTGCTTGGAATAAATAACGTTCCAGTGTACTGTACATGAATTTCACAACATGTTTTATAGATAAATATACTGTATATAGCTTATATTTAATTATAAAATACATTTAAGTATTTCAATATTTTTTTTTTTTTAATGAAACGGAATGCTTCGATAAAAACAAATTGATTCAAACGCTTCGTTGGTGTGTCGCTTCCAAGTTTTCTCAGTAAAATCTCTCAAAATAACTGAATCGTAATAACGAAAATGAAAAATAATAAATCAATTTAAGATAAAGTGATTTGTAAAACGAAATTTTCTAATTCACAAAATAGAAATTCTTTCATCCAGTTCATCCCTCGTCTATTTTCCAAAGAGAATAATTGTGAAAATTGCGCTCTCAAGTAAAAAAAGTGAAAATCGAGTTGCTTAACTTTCCCGGTAGCAAGTAAAACTGCGTGTGTGGCTTCATTTTGAGGGTAGGGGTAGGTTTTATATATATATGTATGTATATAAAGAGTGTAGTAGTGTCGAGAATACTCGTACATAGATCTAAACTAAATTTATAATATAATATTCCACCTTTTGCCTGTGATATTAATTAGATTAATTATTTAAACTTTATCTAAGAAGTATTTTGTTAAAAATCAGAAAGCGTCTGATGGAATGTCGAATATATAGTTTAATCTGGAAAAGAGATTATGTACACTAGAGAAGTATTCAAATAACAACCCTTAATTGACTTCGATCGATTCGGGATTACTCCTTTAAATCAATTCGATTCGGAGAGATCCGTTTATACTAGGTGTTCTATCTTCCTCAATAATAGTTTTACTTGAAATTTAAATCTTTAATAGAGAAGATATAACAACGGATGATTAACATAATTAACTTATAGTACAATGAAATAAGCGAGAATATATTTATAATATAGAGTAGGTTAACGATTGATTTACTCTATACAACACGGAATTGATGGCTAAATGTATCTTCTTTCTAAAAAATTCAGTTATTTGGGGTCTAATATATAAACTACTTTTGATAATTTTGTTATACCAGTCGACCCCCCTATAACACTGTTGATTATTCCGTTTTATATGAATTCCATGTTGTACGAGTCACTTAGATTTTACAAATAAGTGTGCCGGGCTGTGAACGGCTCACGTATTTGTAAAATCTAAGTGACTCGTACAACATAGAATTCATATAAAATGGAATAATCAACAGTGTTATAAGGGGGTCGACTTGTATAAATAAAAGTAAATAGTTCACTCTTCTTGATTTTATTCCCATACAAATGTAATTTTATTATTTACATTTAATTAAGATCTAATTGAATACAGTCGACCCCCCTATAATTACGGTCCCTATAGTTACGATTCCTATAAAACTACGAAAAAATTGCTACCGGTATCCGTAAAAAATAGTAAAAGTTCCCTATAAACACCTCAAACGTCATCGGGAAGCCGAACTACTTTCCCGCCGTCCGTAGCGCCACGCTACGGAGATTTTTACGCTAACTATCGTCTGTCAGTATGTAAATTAGATACCGTAAGTCTAATACAGTACTGTAATTTTATACATTTCTTGTGAAAGAAACATTTCTTATTCAACGGCGATTAAAATTATTTATATTAATGATGTCTCCGAAGTTCTACGAAGTTTTCACAGAAAAATAAGTTGTTAGAAATCGGCCGCTCTTTGCTGAGCTGTTCCGCGACGAAAACAATGTTGAGCAATGGCAATGTCGAATGGCGACACTCGGTAAGTAATCCTACAATTTTTTGTTTATAGCGTAGTTTATACGGATTATTTCCAAAAAATATATACGTATTTTGGAAATGTTGAGTCGGATTAGTCTAGAATCAATTAATTTTATGGAAGAAAATCTTTCAAACAGCCGTAGTCCGTAAACTTTACACGTGTCGGGTTGTGATTGGAAGGATTCGTAAGAAAGCGGATTCCTAGAGAATGGAACGTATCTCTATCTTATAGGGGGGTCGACTGTATATGTTACGTAATTTAAGATTTTCAGTCTAATTAGTTGTTAATAAAAATTACTTAATATATTTTATTTTATATTATTTTGGAATATTATCAATGTGACATTATTTAAGGAGAAAAACAATTAACGAATAGCGAATGTGACGAAACACAATCACCAAACTACTACTAAACAGGAGAAAATGAAATAAGCAATCAAATTTTGAGGCGCTTTATTAGGTAAATTGCAAATACGAATGAATAGATTTATCCGTATAATTTTAGGATTAAAATATGGTGAGAATATCTCTCAACATTACAACTCATTTCAAATTAATAATACTGTATATTGAGTTGGATAAATTGAAATATTGTATGTAAAATGTGTGCTGCTTTTTCCTTTAAGCTCATACATTTTTAAAGTAACGATCCTTCTAGTAAAGCCTTTGTTTATATACAAAATATTCTGATAGGTCTATATTAAAAAAAAGTCTGTTAGAAAATATATCAATTTGTTTTATCAAATGTCAAAAAAATAAGCGAAATTATTGCAGAATAGAATTACGATTATATACTGTACGAGTATATCGTATCGATAATTATTGTATCAACAATGGTGATGATATCACCGATATAAATACTGTATCCTCTTTTTTTGTGGTTAGTATTATGATTTTTTATTTTGAACGAAGTGTTTATCATACTACAGACCGGTACAATATATGTTTTCTAACACTTCTCTATACCTTTATTTTAGCTTTTAAAATTTATATTCTTACTCTCCAGGACATCAATTTTAGCGAACTATTAAGCATTTTCCTTTCATAGATTCTTCGTTTAATTTCTATTAATTTTATACTGTGTACGAAGAAGCGCCAGAAAGTATCATGAATGTTTTTGTAAGAATCTGGTATTTTCCATAACGCTGCTAAATACAAAGATAGTTGCGCTCCTAAATACAAGGATAGCTGCTCTGATACACGCGAAAGCGTGTATCAGAGCAACTATCCTTGTATTTAGGAGCGCAACTATCCTTGTATTTAGGAGCGCAACTATCCTTGTATTTAGGAGCGCAACTATCCTTGTAAAATTGTACTTTATACAATATTTTGATCAGTAAATCGTTGCATATTTATAAAGATACAGTTTAACCGAGCCCTTTCCTAATTTATAGTTAAGAAAGGCCATTTATCCTAGAAGAGCAAAGCTTAGTAATACATTTTCTGTAGGTTGAAAGAGAACGTATCCATCACAAACTCTCAAATTTCAGTTATTTGTTTGTTTATTATAAGTAATGCGAATCTAAAGCAATCTTTAAATTAAAGAAAAAACGTTCAGCAATTCACCTCATTGTCTCTTCATACTAACGCGATTTAAATCGAAAGATGAAACAATTAAGTTACACATAATTTTATACCAGAGCAACGGAAAAATATGCTGGCGATGACAACCAAACCTTCGAATTCTCATCTTTCCCGCCACTACGATAACGATTTAAAGCGGGGCCAATTTTCGACTCCGTCAACATCGTTAGGTTAGCTTTTTAGAAACGATCCGGCCAACTGCCGACTTTCCCACGACTCGGCGCAACTATATCCGAAATACAATTAGACTTTCCTCGATCGGTATTTTCTCCTTTTATACTTCTCTTCCCGTTTTAAAACGACGTTTCTATTAACTCTAACACTAATTTTCGTCTCGATACGACGACTTCCCATCCGATCGCGATCTAAGAAATAAGCGAACAGACACCGCCATAACAATACTATATTGTTTTATCAACTCGGCATTACCTCAGATTGTGTTACTCATTTTAATGTCTCTTTTTACAATACGCTGTTTTATTTCTTCCTCCGATAGGCAATCAAGAGTTTCTCCATTCGTCCCGGTAAACAGCACATCACCTTCGCCTTTCCCTTTATGGAAGAAGCCATCCGAGGTTTCTGCGACAATCGCCAGACGACGGATATNGAAAGTAGTAAACCGATGGTAAATTGATAAAATTCCGACAAATCTTCATCTTTTCCAAAGTGTTTGGATTCCACTTACCTACTTACAATGCTAGCTTATATATAAACATAACACATGAGCCCAATCAAGAGTTTCTCCATTCGTCCCGGTAAACAGCACATCACCTTCGCCTTTCCCTTTATGGAAGAAGCCATCCGAGGTTTCTGCGACAATCGCCAGACGACGGATATCGGGGGGAATCAGGAGCGACCTCGATATATCGCTTCGGGTCTGTTCTTCGACGAGTGCTTCGAAGTCATTCACGGATTTCAGACTTACGTCACCATCGTACCACACGTCAACAAGTACGTACCACCGCCAGAATGCAATTTCAATAGCCTTTTTTTTAAAAAAAGATATTGAAAAACACACAGGTTTGTTTTAGTTTATCATTTACGTAGTGTATATAAGGTACTGTACGACATACTGATATAGAGAAGGTATATAAAAAATATGGGAATGATAAATTTTATTATACAAAATGATTTTATAAAATCATATCCTTCTCCGGTATAAACGTCATAAAAGCTTTTCTGGTGAATTCGGATGCGGAAGATGGTCGAAGGCGGCCATTTTCCGAAGGGAAAACGGCCGTCGTTCGATCAGAAAGACGTCCGAATTTAGAAAGGGGTCGCGACGACGGATTAAAAAAAAAAAAAAAAAAAAAAAGAAAATTTTCGATTTTCCGCGCGGAGAAAGGAAAAGAGTTTAAAAAGCAGAAGAAAGAAAATAATTAGAAAGTAAGTATTTTATTTTCTGTAAAATGCGGCTAAATCGCATCGATTTTACGCAGGAACAATCTTCCGGTTGTCCTGCTGACTCTGGCCCAGAGAGACAGCACGGAAGGCATCTGTCGACATTTCCAGAGTCTCGTGAGAATCTTGCTGGAGAAACCATCCTTGCCAGGATTATGGAAACTACCGGTAGGTGATCCTCCTCTTCCGCTTCTTTCGCATCCATTGAGTCACGCGCCTCCTCCTCCTCCTCCTCCTCATCTCGTTTATTCGCTCTAATCCTGGAATTACTCCGTACGCAACTTAGTAACAATCTAAGTCTAAATTATTACTAGAAGTTATACGGATTTCCCTATATAAAATTTAATTAACTGTAATGAAAACGAAATTTTCTCTTCAGATTTCTTCCCATTTTTACCGCCGAGTAACAATAACTGCTTAGCAAAGTGGTGGTCTGCCAAAGAAATAAGCGAAAACTTATTCGCCATATTCGATTTCACTTTGGGAAACTCGGAGGATGCGGGATACTTTTTGAGAGAAACGATGGTTGGCGGGACCACCTGATGCGACGGATCGGACGGTCGACGGCTCATTCATATATCATCGTATAAATTTAAAGGGAACGGCGCCGCCAATGGCAAACGAGACGAGAAGATCCGATGTTGGTGGCTCGTTAGTTTTTCTTGGCCTCTCTGGCAGCTCTCCAACGCTCCTCCCTTCGCGGTTCGATCGCCCGTCCGGCTGTCGGTCCTTCTTCCTTATTCTCCATCTTTGTTACAGACTTTGGTGGCCGAACTCGACTCTAAACATCGGAAACTGGTTCTGGACATCTGCGCGGAGAGCGTGGCCGAACTTCAAGCAAGCTCCTTAATACACTCTTTTCCTGGAAAAGCTCCGGAACAAATAGTCCATCTGGTCAAGGTAAGAGAGATCATTTCGATAGATAAAAAAAAAAACACATTGTGCGGTTCATCTTTCTTATCTGTTTGCCTGGAAACTGTTAATTAAATTCGGGGAGACTGCCGCGGAAGATTCCGCGCCGAGAACAAGAAAATTCCTTCCTCGTTGGCGTTGTAGAAAATCGGTTCCTTCTTCCGTCGTTCCACCCCGGAGAACTTCCGCTCTGTTAGGATACGACTCGGAGAGCGCCACCTGTCGGCTTCCCACCGTCGTCCGTTTCTCAGCGGCCGGGTCCTCGCGCCGTCGGCGGAAAAGATGTAACCTTACCTTAATTTTCCGCTATTTTCCCCCGGGACGCGAAGAGTCTGTGGCCTCTTCCTTAAACCGACTTCCCTCCCACCGATAAATGGATGATTTTCCGAAACCCATTTGTTTCGCGGCGCCATCTTCGTTCTTTCTTTCGTCCTCGATTCTCCTTTCTGGTCCGGTTCGTTTCCACCCTTCGTCCAGACATTCACTGGCCATAACATTACCGGTTGCGCTACATTCTCCCCGGTAACATGATCGAAAAAATGAAAAACCACTAAATTACCTAAGAAACAACAGATGGAAGGGGTAGACTAGTACCACGCTGCCACCGGGAAGAACAGGACTCGACCATTCAAACTTGTCTACTTCTGGTTTGTTCTTGTATAACTGTTTACGATAAATTTCCTTTTCAAACATTCCTAACACACGTAAATAACTTACTACTTAGTTTACAGAAGCTCCGAAAACACGTAACGAACTATACGTAAAGTAATTCAGATTAAAAATATATCTTACATTTGTACCATTAAAAGCGACATTATCGAGATGAGAAATAGCAGATTTTAACAAGATAAAATATTGTAATTTTAAATTATAAACGATGTTATTAAATTTTCCTTCTGTACAGTACAGTACATTGCGTTATACGAACCGAAATCGTTTAACGTAGGACGAAATTAAAGGAATAGTTTATAATAAATTTAAAAGAGAAAAATGAAATGAATAATTTTATTAATAAATAGATTCATAAAATCATTAGATTTAATTAGAAATAAGATATTGAAAAACAGTGCTAGGTATTACTTATTCCTCGTATTATTTCTTCGAAAGTAAAACAATACGGGGAGGGGGGAGTACAGCATTTAGTCGCCATCCTCCATTCTTATTTTAATATCATAAACAAAATTATCATATTAAAGCATTACCGAATTACGAAGTGACTATATTTTTGTACGGAACAACGTGTTAAATACATCTATTGCAGCTTAATTAAAGGAAATGGCTTTACTACGTATTCTCATAAGCGAATGAACATAAAATATTGTGCCCGCAATACGTTAAGGCTTTAGCATGAAAATTTTATTTATATTTATGTAATTTATGACATTAAAATACAAATGAATGAGACTCGAGATCAGAGTTATTTAGATAACAGTCGATCTCTTTATGTTCCGGATGAGGAAGGAAAACATCTTAAGTTGATAAGTGAGTTTTTCGATCAGATTTAGAAAATTGAAGGTCGATATTCTCTTCCCTTCTTTTTTTTTTGGATTAACAATCCGGAAGAAAAGCTCGAAAATTGAAATGCGATTTCTTTGATCACGTATCGTTCCGATTGGAATACAGTGGGTGATCGGTTAATTTAATCATGTTTTTTCCATTTGTGTGGATTAAAGAATCTGTCCAATGTCGATTGCTTTTCTCTTTTCTTCAGAATTTTTCGGAAGTAATTAATATTATTGTAATTGTAGAGATCCCCAACCCCACTAACCTTACTCTGGTTTGGATGCCACTTGGATGATCGTTGTTCTGACATCCTCTTACTTCTTCAAAAGATCTTTAGTAGCAGATGTCGACATTGGTCCTCTTTCGTCTTTCTCTTTTTCAAAAGAAAACACATCTCGCTGAGTTTCTTGGTATACTTCATTTGAGAATTCTTGCAGTCCTGTCGTCAGATCAGTTTCAGGTTCCATTATAAGCTCTAAAATGTTCTTTATTTCTCAGATGTGATTTTCATTACTTCATTAGCAGCTTAAGACTTCATGATATATCTTTCATAGGTAATATTGTGCTACTGTAGACCCGTTCAAGTCATATTGCCTAGCAACATCGGACATCTTGCGCCCACTTTCTACCTTGGCTATTATCTCTTACTTGGTTTCTACGATGAGCGCAGTTCTTGACACTCCACTTTTTAGGCTCCATAATATTATCAGTTTCTTTTTTAAATAACAAGTTCAGAAAAGCACTTACAAAAATTCAGAGAACAGAAATCAATTAACCCACAAAAAATTACTTCTCCCGCACTCCGAAAGGTTTCGAATTGTTACCTGAACACAAGGGAAAATCTATTGGTATTCGTTTTTTCCGTCGCTTCTTTTTATGTTTGTTCAGTAAAGTGTTCGTTATCCGAACATGTATTCGTTATCCGACCACCCACTGTACTTTTTGATAATTTAGAATAAAACAAATTAACATTTCACTCTGAATCCTTTCTATTTATTTTAGTTATGTCTATTATATTAAGTCAAAAACTTAATCCATTCGAGAAAAACAATTCCTTGTTAACAGTAAGTTCGACAAACTAAATGTTTTTTGCTCAGAAACTCGGTTGCTCTGGTCATCGGCGACGTAACGAACAACAAATCGATTAAAACCAATTTCGACATTCCTCAATTATTTCGCAACTTCGAATTTATTTTATATCTTCGATTTAAAACTAAACGAAAATAAACGAATAAATACGAACGAATAGGGAAATAAGAATCTTCTACATTTTCTCAATATTAATTAAAGGGTACTCGTTTATTTATTGCAAATAATTCATCTTCGACAAGTTCTACACGAAAAACGATGTAAACGGGTCGGAAACTATCGATAGATCTTACAGAGATAGAACTCTTCTTCTCATGGTTTAGGTCATTCAGAAATTTCATCTATTGGAAAATACTTAGGAAGAAACACACACTCCCAAAAACAGTAATATATTCTGTAAAAACCCTCAATCATCCTCTTCCAAAAATATATAGAAGTTTAAATGGGTGAAGTAGAAAAACATTGACAATTCCTATAAAGAGAACTGCAAGAAAAAAAAATTTACTTTTAGGTGTAAAACAAATATATAGCGAATAGACTAAGAGAAGAGCAATGTGGTTTCAAGTCGTAAAGAGAAAATAACCCATTTTGTTGTCAAATATTCGCATGATTGCAGCGTGCTCATTTTTATTTACTTATTTTTTATCTTTGGCAATTCGTCTATTCTCCCGAGTGGAATGGGATCGACTCTAATTCGAATTTGCTGGAGTAAAAACTATTGTCTAATTTTTCATACGTAAGAAAATGTGTTCCTATTAATTGTAAAAAAAGAATTCGTTTACAATTCTTACTACTGTCGTAGAAATTAGGATCGAAAATTCAAATTTCCAAGACGTACTTAGCCCCTTATCTCGTGTTTATCCCTTAAAATAGTTTTATTTACTATTTTATAAACAAATATCGTAATGTTTTAGTATTAAGATAAACTTACATCTTCGATTCTTAGTTTATTTTAATCCTACGACTCGCTAAAGATACAAAAAAATTGTCTTTGATACACCATTGTTTAATTTGCATATAGAAAGACACGTAAGCTTTAGCGAAAGCTGTAATTTGTGTAAAAGCTTGATGTCACGCAAGTCGGATAATAACGTTCCGATTCGACTAGAACTTAACTACAAACGAATGAATTTTGAAATTGGGAATCCGAATCGACCGAAACTTCCAATCCTTTTATATTATTAAAAAAAACCGCGCAAAGAATTGGAGAATTTGCAAGAAGTTTACCAAGAAAGTTTGCCACCCGAGCGACAATTAATTCGGTGGAAACAGATTCACTCATATAATAGAAAATAGGGAATAATGTTAACGAACTGACTCCGAAGAAATGAGAGAAAGACGTAGAAAGGTTGAGAAGGGGATGGCAATACGCGTCTTTATCGCTTCTCTTCATTAAGATACGGGACAACACCCAACCGAGATTTGGCTCATTTGTAATCCCACGCTGTAGTTCTTAATTGCGGAAACACTCAAACCGAAAGAACTCAGATAACAGAGATTCCCATTATCGTAAATACTGTATTACTTTTGTATTGTTATCGTACTAAGTAACAATTAACAATTGGCTTCTTCTTTTTTTATATATACTTAAAAAGTGCGAGTTATATAACGAAGACAGAAATAATTAATAGAAGTTTCAGTGGAAGAACGTGGGATAAAGAAAGGAGGCCCGAACCTTCGCCTACTATCCCGTTCGGTCCTGTCACTCCCTTGCTTTTTTTTGCCTCCTAGATTAACTCACCGCCCCCCTGGGGTAGTAGCGCCCACTTTGGAAACCACGAGTCTAGTAGACACACGAAGAAGATCCGGAAAACACCAAGCGCGAAGTTCGGAGAAATAATTGGAAAAGCGACTACATGTTGTTCTTTTTATTTACTCGTAACGCAGCGCGAGAGACCGCTCTGGAATGGGCGGAAAAAAACGCGTAACGACGTCATAAAAAAGTAATAAAACATTTCGGCGTATTAGACGAAATCGCCGTTGTGAAAAGTATCGATTTCTCGATGTAGATCGTCCCTTACTAAAAGACGGTGGCGACATCTCGCGTCGAAAAATCGAATTAAATTAGTATACCCTTTTATCCGGACGACCCTTCGTACATTTTACATAAGCGCGAACGTCGATTTACTTCTTGTCTCTTTCTTTATATCACCGTTTCGACATCGATCCTTCGAACTTTCTAAAAAAAAAAAAAAAATTGTAAAAATGTTAAAAGGATCGGAGAATTTTTATCAACGTCTACCTTAATTTACTCCATATCATTCTCTTTCCTTCTCTGGTTACTCAAATTTAAATCGAGATTTCGTTTTTCTTATCAAATTCCTTTGTTTTCCTGAATATTTACCACAATTTATGGCAACGTCGTCCCTGTTTCTTCCAACTCGTTTATACGGGTTTACTCTTTTAAAGTCCGATTAGAAACGTCTTAATTTATTTATAACTTCTCTTCTGTTACCTAATTAAAATCGATACCGTAAATTTTATGTTTTTACAAAAAAAAATTGCCGCTTTATTAAGGCGATTCTTTTCGCACTGTCGGCGATCTTCCTGTTTCGATCTAATACATTCATTAAGTACAGTACTTTTTTACGTGAAGGTCGAATTTAGACTTAAAATCGTCATTTGTGATAGTAATTAAAGTAAATCGTTGGAAACAAATAAACAATGAAGTTCCTTCAGAATGAAAGATTCGAATCCACAGATCGTTCTCGAATCTAAAAAGTAATTTCTATTTTTAGAAAAGGTTGGTCCCGTGTGTGGTGAATCTTCGAAATCAAGATAAACAATGGTGGGGATGATGAAGGAGTTAGGAAATATTTCGGGAGTTTTCGACGAGGGACAAGCGACTCGTTCGAATTATATAAAAGGAAGAGTAGCCCCGGGGCTTCTCTCCGTTCGATAATCCTCCTCATCGATTTTCGGATTTTTACCAGATTTTCGTTTTAACCAGTCTTCAAAAGGACCGTCTTCATCTCGTTACAGCGATTTTCTACGGTAAACCGGACTAGAACGAAATGCCAAACTAGAAACGTGGAAGTAGTAAACCGATGGTAAATTGATAAAATTCCGACAAATCTTCATCTTTTCCAAAGTGTTTGGATTCCACTTACCTACTTACAATGCTAGCTTATATATAAACATAACACATGAGCCGAGACGGTAATATTCCTCGATTTACCGATTAAAGAGCGAGGATTTTGTTGTTAAGATTTGAAATACCAAAGCGAGTGATGATTCGGAATGAGATTATCCTGAACACTTACCTTTCATTGTTTCCATTCTTCGTCAATAGAGAAACGAAAATAGTCTTCGTTTCTTAAGAAAGTGAGAAGACGAATCTGCGGACGACAAACTTTTTTCTTTTTTTTCAAAAACTCTCGATAAAGAGATGAAAAAGAAGAAGAATCTATGGCAAAATACTAAAGATGCGGGATATCTTCGGAAACAAGCGACCCTAATTGCGTTCTGAGAGATTATGTAACTGGATGCAATTAGAACCTTCGAACAAGTGAAGAAGAAATACGTATTGCGTTGAATTTTTTATTATATTTTAGAGTCTAAAAATTGACGTTATTCTTTAAAATCTAACTCTCTAAACAAATACGGATATTTTAAATAAACTTTTGTTACGTCAGTAGAATTTCTTTCTTTGTTAAATCTCCAGAAAAGTTAGTTCTTTGTCGCTTTCTTTTCTAAACATTTTCTTTTTTTTTTCTTTAGAATTTAATCGAAAGTACTCTTTTTAAACGATTCGAATCGAGATTTTCAAATTCACTCCTATTGACATCATAAATAATAGTTTTTTTTGACACTTATAAGAAAGAATTATAAAAATAATTACGCGAACTTCTTAAAATCTCTCTTTATTATAATTTTTCATTTATAAGAGAAACCGTTTTTTATTCACTCTCCTAACAATTTTATTTCCTTAATTTTGTATTAATTAAATTAAAAATTAAAGGCGAAGATGATTTAGTTTCTCAAACTTTCACCCGTTTCGACCTATTATAAGTTTTCTTTCGTTTATCGTAAACAGTACGTGGGAATACCCTAGAAAATTTTTCCTCCCCGTGATATTCTTCTCTTAACGGTGTTAACCGACAGTCTCGTCCCTCCTCAATTTCAAATTAATTAATCGAATTTTATGTTAAAACTCGAAAGTTGGAACCACCCACACCGACTAACCGTAGTTTATCGTTATTTAGGAAAAGTTGTTGAGTCCCTACCTGCTGTCCTACAGAGAAATGTTGCGGAGGAACGTGCAGCAAGTGGTTCGTCAGCTGACCAACACCGATCCCGCTTACTTCCTGTCCGTGACGGAACTGCTTCAGTCTCCCGGATGCAGTCACCTGGACTACAAAAAAGTCGATCTGATGTTCAAAGTAAGTGCCGTCGGCGCCGACGCCAATTTCTTCCGCCAGAGGGAGTTGGCGTCGCCTTTTATCTCTTCCGGTTCCGCCGTCCAACGTCCCCCTCCTCGAAGAAGAAAGTCGCGAAATCTTTCGATATTATTTTTTGTATCTAATGAGTCCCTAAAAATTCCCATTGTTAGCGAATTTCATTTTTTTTTCGTACTTCGCGAGAGAGTGCAGAGGGTACTTACTTTAAAATAAAAACAAATATAATAGGCTCACAATTGGCCAGGAGGTTCCGTTCCCTGAACACTTCGGTCGTGGGTGCGCCTCGCCCGGGCGGTCTGGCCACGTGGAGTTTTCCGGGTTTTATCCATGTTTGTAACGCTTCAATAGGGGTCAGTTACTCTTAAAAGACCTCCCGGAAAGCATTTATTCTCCGCGTAACGACCACACAATTACTATTACATGACAAATACGTCACACTTTACCACGGGGCTATATAACTTAGGAGCTGATGCCCAACAAGCCAATACATGACATATGAAAAGACAAACATAATAGCGCGTATCGCGTAACTTCCATTACGTAAGATTACGTATCTAAAGTAATTCTAAGGTAATTGAATAACATTCTCCGAAAAAAGTAAGGAAACAAGTGCTTAAGTCCCTCCTCGAAGTGCGCCCATAAAATATTACAAATCTCCTCTCAAAAACTTCTCTACCGACATCTTTAATGTCTCTTATATAAACTATAAAATAACCAGAATTTATAGAAAAAAAATAACAATTAACTCCAATTTTCTAAATAAGTAAGAACCATTTTCAACGTATCTAAAGTAAAATTTATATTTTGAAGAACAGCACAAAAGATTAAAACCTTTTGTGTTTAAGGGATCGAAGATTTATAAAAATTTCCATTGTTGATGAGGTGGATCGAAAAGTCGAGAAGAAAAAAAAGATATTTATTGGCGGAACGAGGACGACGACTTATTCTAACCGCAAAATTTGAATAGTTTAGTCGTAAAAATATAAATAAAGAAAGGAGTGACGTGACGGACGACGTTGTTTTCTCGACTCTGTGACGTCGTGTGGGTTACTCCCTTTCATAAGTGATCATTTAGACTCTAGAATCGATAAAGTTTATTGCTTGTCGACTCGAGACAAACTTTGATTAAAGATCTTTTATTATTGAGTCCGAATTCAAATTATTAAACTTATTTTATCTTAAGGCAAACAATACGTTTCCTCCTTTCTCCAAAAAATAAAGATTATTCGCTCGCTGCACATTGAGAGATGTTTCTGTCAAAACATCTCTCAATGTTTTCAATTAATTAATGGCAGAATGTCCGAAAACGGTGCAGGAATGCCCAGGTTATCGGAAATACTACAAAAGATTGACAGAAGAGACCCAAAAACCCTCCGGAGTTCAGATTATTTTCCAAATTTTCTTTGTTGGAAACAGATTATTTGGTTTGGATGAAAGACGGAGAAGAAGAGATATTTGGCGCAACATTTTCGACCGCATTCCAGGAATGACAGAAAGGACCAGGGATGCGGAAATTTCTCGAACGTCACCCGAACGGCGCCTATGGGAGGTGCCAAATCCTAAACGGCAATCGGCCACCGTTTAAACCCTGGATGGTTCTCTCGAGTCTCGTTTGTGGTGACGGTTTCTCTAATTGTAGAGTTCTTCCTCCTTCGTGTCCGAGAGACAAACTTTCTACGGGTTCTTAATCCTCTAGACTAATAGCTTTTCCATCTTTCGGGAATTTCGTGTCGATTCTCCTTCTTTTACTAGAGTCTCGGCCGTTACAGGAGCTAAAGTCGAATTGTTCTGCAAAGACTCGAGCACAGAATTATCGCCGGAAATCGTCGCGAAGACAATTTTAAATGGAAGAAGTCGTTCGAAGAAGAAGAAGAAGAGTAAGAAACAAACGTGACAATTCTGTCATCAAAAATAGCCCTTTCTCGGTCGAATGGTTTTTAAAAGATCTCTTTCGACGACGATTCCAATTGGATTCACCCGATATTTGTAGTTATTCAATGTTTCTCCTTTGACTATTATTTCCGGACAATGGTCTGAAAACTTGGACACCAATTTGTAATATTCACGGACATCGTTCCGATTGTCTGTAAATAAAACTTGTATCTTCATTAGGAATCTAAATAAACCAAAGCGCACGTCGATACTCTTTACTATTACAAGAGAGGAATAGCGAACGATTTATTTGTCGATTGATTGGATCTCTCGAGAATCAAATTTATGACTTTCGAATCGTGTTATCGATCTTCTCAAAAAAGAGAAAACGGTGTTAAAACATAAAGTCGATGTCACTTTGCTGTTATCGAGGGCATCGACTACCCGACGTGTCGATAGCGATTGTATCTTTTGGAAAGGAAAAAGTTTCCGAAAAGAACTTTCTTTCGGACGTCTTGTTAATATATTGTGACGTCATTTCCCTTTTTTCCCTTCTTTATTCCGTTGAGATGCGACCGAACAGATTCGCTTACGCTTCTTTATGCAAATTTACTCGTTAATATATTTAGATAAACAAGATTGAGAGTGGAAGAAAAGAGTTCGATTTGCATTAATTAATCATAAACAAAGAAGACAAATAAAGAAAGAAAACGAAACTTGACTATCTCAGCACCAAAGTAGCAACCTCCGTAGAATTGTTTTTTAGCATTATTTAGAAAAGCTGAACAAATTAATTAATAAAGACATTGAGATATTTTTCTTGCCGAAATTCAAAACGATTATCCTATTTTTCTCTATTACACTTTATCAGTTTTTAATTAAATTACCTTTTCAAGTAATAATTTTTGTTAAAACTCGAATATACAGTATTTATTTTGAATTATAATAGAACATTTTAATCTAGAAATTGAATGTTTATCGCTTCTGTTAGCCTTCTATCAATTCTCTTAAGGTTATATTATTAATTTTAGAGTGAAGCCATTCGGAAAATGCGGTTAAGAAAACGTATCAAAGTAGAAATAACAGTCGGTTGAGAAAATGTTTTTCCCCCGGAAACGTCTAAAAAATCTAAAAATAAATTTAACTTTAGTGATTTTCAATTTTAAAAAGTGGTCGACTCGAAAAGGACCCGTCATAATCCTTTGGAATGGCTCCTTACGGAATTCCGATCGATCGAAGCTAAATGGACTCTTTCTCCTTTAAAACAATGTCTTTCTCTTATCGTTTAGCCAAAGTGTTTTGGCCGAACAGTAATTGTCTGAAGGTAGCGATTCCGAGAGGCAATGCCTCTCGTCCCGCACAAATGCTCTTTCACTAAAGATTTAAGTCGCTCCGACTATTCCACTTTCCTCTCGATTATTAGCGAATCGACTTTAACAACAAACTTTTATCGGCTAACATATTTAAACTTTTCAATATTTTAATGTTATTTTATAGGTGAGTTTCCGTATGGAGAAGTCGTTTTTTAAATAAATTGTTACGCTACGTCTTCCTCACCCAACTCCGAATTGCTAGAAACAAAAATAACATCAAACTTCGACTATATTAATCTATATTTTTAATACAGTTGACCCTGTTCCAATCCTCGGTACGGTGTTATTTTCTTACAGAGTAATAACGTTATTACTTTGTAAGAAAATATTGGTTGGAGTAACGTGATACCTTTATGTGATTGGAAAAGTGTGAGTGAACCTGGGTAGGTGAGCTCTTCTTGCCAGCATATTGCCATATTATATAGGTTTACAGTCTTTATTTATTATTTTAATTGTTTAATTACTTTTTTTTTAGCATACTTTATAATAAGTATCTCGTGTTATTTAAGAAAGGCGTTTGAACTTTTTGCACTAATTAATTAATAGTATAAAGCGTGTCCCTGCTGTCATTTTTAAAAATATTAACACATATTTTTATTGTATTTTGTGTAATAATTACTTATTAATGCAAGTAAAATAAGTAAAAATTGCATTTTAAGCCTGCACATTAAATAAACGAAACAAGATGTCGAAATTATAAAATTTTATGACTCCTTTTTTTTGGGAGGGAATTAACTTTGAATTAATTAAAAATTCAATTAATTTCTATAATTTATAATAAAATTTATATAATGATAATTCTAAAACATCTTAATAATTCAAAAGCCAAGAAACTAATAAAACCGCTAATGTATCTATAGGGAGGGAGGAACTTCAATTTGTTTTCTTATCATCCGGATTACTTACGACCTTTTTAAATGAATTCACGATATTTACAACAATAAATTCTTCAAACAATTGTTCGAGTGTTTTAAAAACACCCTTCTGGATGTATTCGAACACTGTTTTGGAATGTTTTGCTAACAATCCCCAAAATTTCAATTTGATTTCAAAATATTTCCATCAAACAAACCATTGAAGAAGGTAATTTTTCTTTTTAAAAAGCTTTAAAAAATACATTTTTTAAATAATTAAAATACGTAAAAGAAAAAGAAGATGTTAATTCGGTACAATTCGGTAAAAAGAGAACGATATTATTTGATTTTGTGTCTTCTACAGACAAGCAAATGCAAAAATATGGATCCTGTGAAAAGATAATCCCTCGATTATCCTTTGGAATGTCGTCAAAATTCGAAATATATAGTTTCAAACACTGTTCTGATCATTTTAGAAGGCAATAGTTATGATTTTTCTCTTTTGAAACTTTACGTAATCCACACATATCGGGCCTACATATAAAATTTGGAAGGAAATGTATTCTTCTGATAAGAACAAAGCCTTTCTTTATATGCATTCTTGGATTTACGTAATATTATATACCCGGTACTGCACTGCACAGATAAATATATGTAGAGGATAAAGTATAGACTACCATATGTTAAACTTGTGGGAATCAATACGTAAATCAATAATAATTAAATATAAATAATAACGATAAAAATAAATTTGTATTAGTAATAATTTAATATTTATCAATCTAAATAACTTTTTTTTTATTAGAATATTTAATAATTATCTGTTATAATTGGCATCCAGATCATATTACGGATCATGGTCTCGAGTATCGTCGTTTGCAGAATTTGGAATTGATTGAAATTCAGTGGTATTTATACGAAAGACGTCAGGATTACTCGTTGAGATGATGCCTTAAGATACGGAATGACTAAATGTAAATCATTACAAATTGTGCCACAAATAGAACATCGGCATTAAAGTTAGACGTTAATGTAAAACATCCGTCGCCAGCATGAAATTTTCAGTTTTAGTAATTGATTTTGACTTTCTGCCAACAGAAAAAGATCTCCGATGCCGAAAAGGAGGGGGGGAGTCGATTATGATTCGTTAATGTATACCTTCTTAGATCGCATTGGTGGGAAGTGGAATGATGCAAAGAGAATTTGAAATTTCCCTAGATCAATAAACACAAAAATACAATCGTAAGAAACAATGCAAAACGTAATCATTATTAAGAGAATCCATTTAAATGCAAATATCATTATTTATTTATGACTGGTTTAAATTTTTCTAAATTAAAAAAAAAAATTATTATATAATTAGTGACGATTATATATGAAGAATGGCTTTCATTTACTTGTCGTCAAGACATACTTTCCAAATATCATTCACTAAAAACAATTTGTTACACTTCAGGTCTTTTAGTCGTATTATAATGCAAATTTTCTCAAGTCTTGCCTACAGTCATTCGAATTGATCCATCTGCAATTCCGAAAATTTTATTCATTTTGATATTGTAATAATTTTCTTTAATGTAAACGGCATTAATAATTCGCCGATTTTAATTTTAGTATAAAGTAGACAAGATTGACCTAGTGAAATTCTTTAAAATATTTAAAAATATCAATTATTTTTGTATGTAATTTCTTTGTAGAATCCGGGAGTTGAACCAGCCATTAGAGAATTTTGGCAGATTTGGGGACACGAACAAATTGCACGGAAAGTATTTCCTGTGACCCTAACGGCTCCTCCAAAATTAGGACCTCTCGGAGCGATAGTGGGAACGACGGAAGCCATGATGAATGTGGGACCTTTATCTCACATCCCCGTAAAAGAAGGTCTTCAGAGCATCATCAAATGCCTCAAATCCCAAGATATCTCTTATACAAGTAAGTATCCAAGATGTGATCACGAATTTTTTGATGTTAACTTAAAATATATATGTTTACATACAAATATTCTTTTTATAGAATGAATTTTCTTAAAAGTTAATTTTTCTTATTCCTTCACTTTGATTAACTGTACTGTTCAATCGAGTAAACGTTAATCCCAAAAGTTGTGCATTTATCTCATTTTACATGACCCAAATTACTTTCAGAGATTTATTTCTTCTCTCGGGTTCAGTCAATGGCTCTATTATGTAAATAAACTTCTGTAGTTCTTTATCCGTATTTTAACTACAATATTTGTCTCCATGGAATTTGAAGGAGCGAAAGTAATTCATCACTCTCCATAGATGTTTCTCCATAATTTCTTAGTTTACGAGGACATGGAAAACAGAATAGAAGTCCGTATCGAACGATAAACGGTCATGTAAACTGTTCCATGTAATATTTGTTATGAAACAACTGCATATACATCAATGTAAAAGCTTTAATCAAATAAGAAATTCGATTAATTTAAAAGGATTATGTCGAGACATTATTCTTGTTTGAGAACGTGTCTTCGATAATAACATTTCTTTTATCAACACAATGGCATTTTATATTCATTAAAATCTCTGAATTTAACGAAAATTAAATCTGATTTTATTCGATTATAATCTAACAAAACAGTATTTATTATAAATTTTAAATTTAACTGGAGAATGACAGTATTCAAATAATACAAGTGAAAGAAATTCATGTAATTAATTAAAGTTTAAATGGCTAATGGATTCAGTTTGATTTCTATATGTGACTTCTTATTTTCAAATTAAAACAATAAAAAATTGTTTTAATTTTATAAACCAGAAAGTCTATAAATATGTATAAAAATTTTATCATTTTTTATTTATTTTATATAAATTNCTTGATTTTTTTTTTTTCTTTTTTTCAATAATTCGAAAGGTAGGAAAAATTTCCAATCAATAACAATTGGTTTTTATTAAAAAATTTTAAAGGCTTTCGATAAGAGAATAAACACTTTCGACCCTGTAGAAAAAATAAAAGGAAGAGAGAGAAAAAAAAAAGAAAGAAAGAAAGAAACAAAAAATAAGATAAACTATTTATCTAGCGTGTGTGTGTGTGTGTGTGTATTATTTTTATCTTTTATCCTCTAATCATATTATTTTACCTTTCTGCTGCGTCACATTACTATATTTCCTGCAATATATTTTTACTTACATAACTCATTTCGTGAACACACTTCAATATTTTTTTTATTAAGATATTTTTACCTGTGATAATATATTTGCAAAAAAATAATAATACCAGTGTGTCACTTATATAACTTCCTATTATTAATTTTAAGTTATAAAGAATGGTATATTTTTACTATAGACGAACCAATTATTATGACTGAAGTTTAAATTTACTTTATATATTTGAATTCCAGGAACGAAAGAAGATCGTCACGAGAACCAACTACATTCCTGCAATTGTACTATTTGCAGGATTCAACCATCTTCCGCTCAGACGTCCAGATTCAGACTCTATGGAGATCTGTCGAGAAAATTAACTAATGGTCAGACATTTTCTATTCAAACTATTAAAAACTTTTAAAACCATTAATTAAACTATATAAATCCCATTTTTATGATAATAAAATGAAAAATAAAAACAGTCGACAGAAGTGATGATAAGTTGTAGTCTATAAGAATTCGTTTAAAGTCTTTATAGTAATAGATGTTTAATACTTCTAGCCACATTCTGGAAGTATTAAATATTAGACTACTATTAAAATTTAATATTTCTTACTAGTTTTAACCATTAAAGAACATAAAGATATCTTTTTCCGCATCGTTATCTTAATCCGAAGAAGGATCAATTCGCTTTTCATTAACTTTTTTCACTGGAAAAATTAGATAAAATCCTCATTGTAAAATATTCAAATCGGATTACATTTTATTTCGTGCCTTTTATGATTAAATTTATAGACTAGTTTGGATAGAACTGGGCATGTAAGAATTTCAATTGTGAATTATCTTAAAAATTGAATAAGATTCTTAAATAATTCATACGATAGATTCAACAAAACATCTTTTGCTAACTAACAATTATGCTTAAGGATTACAGAATTATCTTTTGTGACAGATTATTCGATAATTATCAAATATTCAAATGCAAAAATTACACCCAATTGTGTTTTTACATGGTATAGGCCTATACGTTCCGGAAAGTCTGCGTAAAATGAAATCGTCAAACTTCGAATTTCATTTGTTATGACTGCTGAATAAAATAGGAACGAAAATCCTATTGTCTCTACGTTCAAAGAAGTAATTTACTCGAACATATTTAGCAGCCTTTAATGCGAATTCTAAGAAATTTTGTGTAGAAAAAAGAGCAATTTTCTAGAAAAAGAAAAGTAAATATATCTAGAATTAAAATCAAACGGAGATTTTAAATAGTTTTACTGTTCAATTTCTTTATTTTTTTATATTAATACCAGAGATTACTACCATGCCGCTACGTATCTAAGTATGATAAATCGATTGAAAACTGGAATAAAAATTTCAATAACTCTACATTTGTTCCGACCGGGGATATAAGCTAAATGAAAAAGTTTAATCGTATCTCTTTTCAATATATTTTATTTGTTTTGAAAGTAAACGTTTCTCGGATAAAATGTCAAACCGAAGGAACTTTGCCTCAATCTTTATATCGTATTATAATATTAAATATTTCCTTTACCTTAATCACTCGAATTTCAAAGCTTTCAAAAGCTTCGTCTTCAATTCCAGTGTACGAAATACAGTATATATTCTTTATTATTGAATCTAAACTAAATATATTTAATAATTTAATTCTGTTCGGCAAATTTATACATTTGTTAATATATTGAATGCTGTAAATATTTTCTCTTTTTATAAGAAAATAATTGCATTATTTCAGCATCCAGTTTCCGGAGGAACTCCTCCATAAAATTTTTCAAAATTTGGAAAGAGCTTTGTCTTCGATGTAAGAAGAAATTCGATTATGTCTTATTTATATTATCAGATTATTTTTCTCTCTTATAACTTGGTTTGTAATTCTTATGCAAAACAATTGTTTCTTCGTATTCGACGTAGAGAATTTTAAGAACTCCAAAGCTTCTTTTTGATTAAACTGAATCGTAATTGAAATTATCGTAATGAATAATACAGAAGTTGCGGCCGAAGTTTTCATCTCTAAAACGTGAACGTCGAACGTCGAGCGCCGCTATCTTGTAAGCAGCGCTCGACGTTCGACGTTCACGTTTTAGAGATGAAAACTTCGGCCGTAACCTCGCTAATATCCTAATTGAAGTAATCATAATGAATAATAGAGAAGTTGCGGCCGACGTTTACGCGTACTTAGCCTATGAGAGATCGCACTTCTACATATAAGACATAAGGCGATGGTCTTTTTTGAAACAAAACTTACGTCTTATGTATCGTAAAATACGATAATCTTCTAATGATTTAAAGAGTTGTTTTCTACACTCTTTAAATCATTTTATTTTTAATAAAAATATATAAACGTATGGAACTGATACGCGGAGAATGTCTTCTAGTCTCAAAACTAGAAATTATTTAAGTTAAAATATAAATCGAAAGCTTAAAATTCAATATATATAACGATTCGAAATTTAATTCGAATGATAAAAGTTTCATGTTTTATATATAAATATTTTTACACGAAAATATTATTCTTTCGAAAACAAACACTAGCTGCCAACACGCCAGCAACTTCTGTAATAAACCAGAAGAAAAACAATTTGATAATTGAATAAATTGTATAAAGCATCGCAAATTTTATAAAATATTTTTACGCATTTGAAAATATATAGGCTATTCGTTTAAATGTTAAAATTGAACCAGAAAGATCAATACTTTGTATTTAGCATTTATAAATTGAAAATTGTCAATTCGGAGAGAAAATCTGTTTACAATTTAATCAGGAGTAAATGAGAAAATTCTTCGAAGTAATTGTACAGTAGAAATATATCGGAAATAGTAAAATAGATGAAAAATCATTGGAATTAAAATAAACCTGTATAATAGGACAAAATCCACGTTTATCGATGACAAGTTTGTCTTGTACAGATAAATAATTATACAGTCGACCCCCCCTATAACACTGTTGATTTTTTCGTTTTATATGAATTCCATGTTGTATGAGTCACTTAGATTTTACAAATACGTGTGCCAGGATGTGAACGGCTCACGTATTTGTAAAATCTAAGTGACTCGTACAACATGGAATTCATATAAAATGGAAAAATCAAATGTGTTATAGGGGGTTGACTGTACCTGTTATTTTGCTTTATATTATATTAAAAAAAAAAACAATTTTTCTGTGACTAAACCGTAAAAAATTGAGGATAAATTATTAAATTGTAGTTAAATAAATGAAATAATATGCAAACGTGCAAAATAAATTTTTTTGTGACTTTTCATTCCTCGTAGGTTGTCATTATCTTTTCATTTTTCGTTTTATCGCCGTCAGACATTTATAGAGTATTTTTCTTTGACTATAATGAAACAATTAGTTTTATTGTTATCCGAAAAGTTCTAACTTTATTGCTACAAAGGATTTATAACGTGCACTTTTTCTTTATTGACTTTTATTATTAGTGTTTCTGTAGATTTTTCTGTCAAATTAACTCGCTTATTAAATATCAGACAGTTTTTTTTTCGGTTTTCTTTCTATAATTCTTTAAAATTACTAACAATATTTCACAATTATTTCACTTGTTTTTAACAATATAAGGAGAAAAGTTCGTTATCCAAGAGATAAAAATTATAAGAGATAAAGCAAAGATAAGATATTCTCAGGGTTATTCCACTTCGCGAATAAATAATTACTTCATTAACGATGGAAATTTATTTCTAGAAAATCGTGTTTATGGAGGAACTAAATAAAAATTACTAATACTATAAGCCTACCGAACTAATTAAAAGATAACTAAATGAAATATAGAATAAAAATAATATTAAACCATTTTATTTCGGATTACAAGCGTTGTTTATGTTATTAATTTTATCATTTAGATTAATAAATTTAGTTGAAGGTATTCGATATTTTTCTATTCTTAAGAATCTCCGAGAGTTATTTGAATGTACACATGTTAAACATTCGTCATTCACTGAAATTAAACTGAATGCGATTTGCAACCACATTAAATTCAACTACTTTATTTTGTGGAAAGAAGTAATAAAAGGGACGAAAGACTGTTGTTTCTGGTGATTAGAGAATGACGAAAAATAAAGACATTTTAATATTTTTTAATGTGTAAAAATCTTCAGCCATTTTAAAAAATTCACTTTAAATACAGTATTATTATTTTTTAGGTTCTACGGAAGGTTCGGCATTCCACCTTCCTATTCAGGAGAGAACGGCAACGAGCGATCAAGAAAATTATGCGGGAAAATTTCGTTTTTCGTCTACCTATCAGCTTTATTCCGATTCGAGGATCCGAGACGTGCGCACGTTCAAGTGTTCCAAGGATCTACCATATTCCGTTCAGTCGTCTCTAGTGGATTCCAACTCGTCGAGAACGAGTTACAACCATCGGTCGCTGGTACAGCCCGTGCCTCATTACTTTCCGATCAGCCTTAAAGCCTTCTCCCAGCCGCTAATGTACAATTACCCCATGCTGAACAAGCCTCATTACGCACTCGCGCTGAATCCTCAGCAGCTATAAAAGAGAGAGGAAACGAGGATTCGCAAAATTCAGTAATATACGTTGTAATTAATATCCCGCGGGACAATGTCGTCGTTATTCGAGATACGTGTGCGTGACCGAATGCTTGATGTCCTTCGATCGATCCGAATTTCATTTTATATATAAGAAAAAAAAAAGTTAAAATTTGATGTAATAAAAATTTTGCTTATTTCACTACCCATTCTCTTTTCTTATTGTTAAGTACAGTATACACATTTATTATTTCAATACGAATTATAGGCTAGTGTTACTTTATTGCTTAATAAACTTAGACATATATACGCCTCTGAAGTTATATTCTAAAAGGTATGTAATTTTAAAATTTGGAATTTTGATAGTGTCTTTAGTCAATAAATATTCAGCTCATAAATCCACGTTCAAATAGTACCAATAACGATTTTACATTTGTAAAAGAGGAGAAAATCGACGAATAATGTTGGAATTTGAATATAATCAATAAAGCTATGTGTAATGACGAACTAGGTAAGTACGTGAGAAAATATTGCCACAAAAGAATTGACACAACTGCTCGGTAATAAGAATATAAATGTTTACTTTCAGTGCTTTAATTTTGCAATTTATGGCTAATTATTTTATAATTTATGATAAATTCTGCTCCTAACGGGAATATTTAATTATATTTAGTTAGAAAATGATATTAATTCCAAAGTCACGTTCACGTTCATTCCCATTTCTTTTTCAGAAACGTCTATGCCATTGTAGATCATTCCTTCAAGTGGATAATCTACAAAGGCATAAATATTTTTGAAAAATAAACTGGGTTTTATATTACGTTATTATTTTTAATATAAAATAATATTTGAAAGTAATAAGCTATGAATTCTTGATTAATTAATCTTCGTTTGGTCCTGAGCATGGATACACACACACACGCGATATGTTAGCATTTATCAATGTTTTCTTAACGAAAAGAGGAGATATTTGTGCAGGGATGGGACGAAAATTCATAAACTAAAAATCTAAAATAATTTTTCAAAATAGGTAAAGAGATCGCGAGTGTTTCACACGCGATAGAACAATACATGCCAAGTGAATTTTCCCTTCAGAATGATTAAGATCAATCATTCTCGCTTAACTTCAGCTGACTACGATAAACTTTTAAAAGGTAACGAGAAGAATCCCTCTTAAATACTGAAATACTCAAGTCATTATAATTATTATTTCCATTGAGGAGTTTCGTATTAATAATTAGGATTTCAGCAAAAGCTTTAATCCTGTGATGGAAGTAACGTATTTCGCCTAATTTAAGTTTACCCGTTAATTTTCTTCTTTTAAATCTGATTAGTTGATTACTGAGTGAAATTTAAACAATAATCTAATTATTAAATGAATAAAGAATTAATAAAATGCTTTCTGAAGCTTTATATTATATTTAAAAAAAAAACAATTTTTCTGTGACTAAACCGTAAAAAATTGAGGATAAATTATTAAATTGTAGTTAAATAAATGAAATAATATGCAAACGTGCAAAATAATTTTTTTTGTGTGACTTTTCATTCCTCGTAGGTTGTCATTATCTTTTCATTTTTCGTTTTATCGCCGTCAGACATTTATAGAGTATTTTTCTTTGACTATAATGNATTTAAACAATAATCTAATTATTAAATGAATAAAGAATTAATAAAATGCTTTCTGAAGAACCCTTTTCTTCTTTTTTTATTTTCGAAGACAATCTTGAAGTTTCATTGAAACATCAAAGGGATAAAGTAATTAACCGAGTTATTTAATGTTTCGGCGAAAATTACGTAACGTTAAATTAGGACATAATTTTTTCTTATTCTGTTATATATAACAGAGAGAAAGTATGGATTTTGTGTGGAGGTTTGTGTATTAAGGGATTGATACTATTAAATTTTGACGGGATGGAAAGATAAAGGAGGGTTCGTTGGATAAAGTTACTCGTTGCTGGATTTTTTAAATTTACGATTGAATTTATTATGAATAATATTTTATGGAAGACAGTATTTAAACTTACGTAAACTAACAAATTTTTAAATTGTTTTTATTTCTCAGTATCCGTTTCTCTCGTGCTAATTTCTGTGATTTAATTGTTCGTCATTAAATTGTCTTTATTTTCTAATATATGCAGTCATTTTAAAAAATAGCAATTGTGAATTCTTTCATTAGCTACGATAATGAATTTCTATACAGTAATAACTAAGAAATAACTTAAAATTTCTTTATAAAATTCAATGAGTTTTTTAAGGAAAAATCTTTCTTTGCGTTAATTTCATTATTTAATGACTACTTAGTAAATATATTTATAGTTTTTATTAATATATAATGAATTTACTGCTTTGAATTTCTAAATTTGTAAATTTCAACCACTTTATTACCATCAAAAATTTTATTGTGAACAATTTCTCTATCTTACATTACAATACATCATGGAACACTTGAAACACGTTGACGATGTTTTGGAATAAGAGCGTAAAAAGCATTCTGGCTGATATCTTCAGTGATATTTGCAAAGATCTGGAGTAACACGAGGAAGTTCGGGAAGGCTTCTAGTATCTCTTTTATTGCTTTGACTTCTATGCTATCGACGCCATAGTCAACGGTAATAATTTCCGCATTCTCCTTGAAGCTGTACTTGATCTTGATTTCTTGGCTTCCCTTTCTAATAACAAGACAGCCAACCAAAACGAAGAAAAAATTAAGTGGCAGGAGGATTCTCCACTTAATTCTTTCTCAACTTATCTTCAAATAGCCTATAGCTTCTTAGGCCTATATTCCTTCCAGTTTAGAAATTCATTGTGATCGAATATCGTAACATTCTATGAATACAGATTCATCTGTGAATTTCTGAAAATCCTAGGCCGTTCAGAAAGTGCCTAGACTTTCATTTTCCTTGTAAAAGTCATCGCATCAGTTCTCATACACTAACACGTATCTTCCGGAAGGAGGAAGTTCACTTCGATATTTTCTATGTTCTTACAAGACTGGAGAACGTAGGCAATCAGTGCTATACTGATTCTATTTATTGTAAGTTTTGTTCAAAACAGTGTCAAAATGAAGAGTAACATTATTATATTGCGGCCATCAGCCTCCTTAATATAATTGTATAAAGATATTTCGTGTGGCACCGTCTATTATGGGATTTTATTTCAAAGTAATTTTTATATTATTAATATAATTAAAAAGCAAAAGACTTAATTTTGAGAGTAGAAATGAGTTTTTTTTTTTAAATTATAAATGCCAATATCGAGTGAAGTTACGTCCTACCCACTCGAGATATAATACATGAGTTCCTCATCTTCCCAACTCTCGATCTTTAAACATCAAAATGTATAGTATCAATGCCATTCTATACAAGTTACCGTGTCAAATTTCTTTTCTTAATCATTACTCCATCTTAAGATACTAAGAACAAAGAAGCAATAAAAGTAATGTGGTATTTCAGCAAATGTGGCTAAAGGTGTGATAAAATTGACCTCCGGGAGATCGCATATTATTGAGATGTTAAAACTGCTCCTAGTGTGGATAAATGACAAGCAATTAGCTAGTGATATCATTTCTGAGAGGATTATTTGTGAGAAAGTTAAAAGCAAGCTGCATAATAACCTTAAGGAACGGGATATCACCATTCCTCACTAAAGTACAGTAATTGCAATTTTCATTATTTAGTTTTTATGTATTTTATTTATTGTTTCCGTGCTTTAAAGTATTATTTAGTACATTTAGTTTACCGCGAATAAACAGACGTCCCCGTCTTACCCCGTGGCACCATCTTGCACCACTTTTCCCTATAAGATGAGAAGGCACAGACAATTCAGCCTTTTTAATCGCGTATGAAATCACACTGTGAGCGAACACTCCTTCACATTGTCCGTGATTAATGCTAAAGAAACGAAGACTCACTTCATCTAAATGTTTCAAATGAGAAACAATGTATACGAGAGCTCCTGCCACGATGGAATTCCGATTTTATCCATCACAACCATTGGCAAATAAATTAGCAGTATGGACCTTTGTTTCATCATATTCAGCAATGTTGTAAACAGTTCTGAGGATGGCTACATAGATGGCAGAAAACATTAGATTAAATAAAAATAGTTGCTGGAATAGGATAATTCTTTGTGCATATTAATTAAACAGTTCTGTTGATACTTCAGAAGCACCTCAACCACTTCTACACTCATCCGGGTAAAGCAATAACAGCCCCGAGAGGCTATGTCATAAAAAGTTAAATTATAAACAGCAAACCTTCTTTTGTAAAATACCACACTGTCATTTGATACAGGCAAATACATGACCTGTTATAGATAAAAACATAAACAAAGCAAGCTGCGGTTTTTTAGCGTTGCAAGAGTTTTCGATCTCAAATACAGCATTTTAGGAAGTAATATGCCTGTCATAAACGTCTTGCATTTATACTTTTGTTTCATCAGACCCCTGAACCTCCTTCTGGAGATACGCTTTGCATAAACTACAATGGTCCTTTTTGAGTCTGTGAAATGAAAGATTCATGGACTAAAAACTGTGCGGTATGAGTCCACAAATGAAAAAATCTGAGGGTCTTTTTTGACCGATCGCCATACTTTCCCTCATAACAGCCGGGAATGTGAAAATGAATTTTCTGTAAAGTTATTGATTCCATCTATACTCGCCTGAATCTGCATTGAATAACGCTAGTTGCATTGCATGAAGGTTAGAAAAGGTATTCGAAATCTTGAAATTTGTCGTAAATTTGTCGATGACGTTAAGTTTAAGTTTTGATGACAATCAAATTCTTATCTGATTCTAATCACGAAACTGCTCTGAATTGCATAATTGCAAGTTTTGGATCTTCAAATGTAAAATTTTCATTGGCTGCTATGTTACGTGCTATCTGAATTAGATTCAGTAATTGAACTACTGAATCTAATTCAGATTCAAAAACTCCTCAGTTTTTGACTTTTACTCCGAAACTCGGCTCGTTAGAATTATAGAAGACGTAAAGCAGAGGTATCAAACACGGTCGCGTTATTATATCTAATTTGCATAACGGCCCGCGACAAGCCAAGCATTCAGTTAGCAATAAAAATTCTAGACTAGAACATTCTAGTTGATCGCCGCTTCTTGAAATCTCTCAACATACCTTCTGCAGTGAACATAATC